AAAAAAAAAAGATACACGATTCTTTATAATGGCAAATAGAGAAAAAGAATAAATTTTTGCTAAACAATATTACTTTCTTGCTAAAAATTATAATCCGACATACATTATTCCTAAATATGTTGAGAAACAAAAGAGAAAAGTACCTTGCAACGAGCATGCGTAATCAGAGTTTGAATTTTTTTTTTTTTTGTCACCTTGGTATCGTTTCTCGTTTGCATGCCCCGACGAATGAAATTTTTCACAACGTGCCACATCGATTCGTGCCACATCCATCGGCTAGCGTAGAAAACGTAAGTTTTCTTACAAATGGAGCGCGTGTTAATGTTTCCCACTATAAATCTGTGTACGTGTTGTTGTTCAATCGGAGAGATGAACTCCGTTTGTGTCCGAGTATGTAGTTCTACTTACTTTCGTTCCTTTGTTCCCTTCATTTTCGTATATTTCACATTACGTTCCGTTCACTTATGTTTTTCACGCTCGGTCGAAAGAAATGATGAGGATCTCGCCGGAGTTCAGAGAAGGTTTTCGTTCTGTCGAAACGAAACGACAAAAGGGCGAGCGTTTCTTCTGTCTCTCTCTCTATTTTTTTTTTTTTTTTTTTTTTTCTCTTTCTTTTGGCGGACGATAGATTGAAATGATATTAGCATGTGACTTGGTAGGCTTGTGCCTGAGTTGATCGAGTTGTATTTGACAGATCTATACGTCAGAGACGTTGAAGCAAGCGGAAGGTGTGGTGAGCACAGTGAGGTGCGAGGGCAGGGAACATGCCCTCGGCCGCGGAATCAAGCGAAAGCTGGACTCCATCCATTCCATGCATTCTACCCTGCATGAAGACCAAGATGGTCAGTATTGTATTGGTATTTCTAGTCATTAATCGTACAAATAGCATCGAACCGCATTTTGATGATCAACTTTGATAACTAACTGAAAGACACTCGAGTGGCCTTATTTTATAAAACAGCTTCGAAAGAAGACGACTTGTCACAAACAAGTACAAACTTTCAATTCAACCCCGTACCAAATTACCAAATTTTGACTGTTGAAGGCAAGTTTTCACGTTTCTGCGCATCTCGTGCGAAAGTTATTTTATCAAAGTGGTATCCGACTGTAGTTCTACATCGATAAGTAATGTAATTAGTAGAGACATCACGTGCATGATCATCTCGAAGATACTGTACAATAATGTACAATACGTAACGAGAACAATTCACGCTGCTTGCCGATGATTGGTAGTTATTCAGAATGCTTTCAGCTTTGTTAATATTCTCAATCGTTGATCCACGACTAGTATCGCTGAGCTACTAGATTCTTTACAGATCTGCTGTCAAATTTCTTCTAAATTGTCGCGAGTTAACCGATCAACGATACTAATCGTGGATTAACGTATCAACTGGAAATACATATGTATTTTAAGCAGAGCATGCTTCAATTACGTACGTAATTACGTTTAGTCCATTATTGCGTGTGTGCTTGTTCGTTATGTTTTTTGCTTTTGACCGTTGCATGATCATTTTGATCCGGTGCTTGTTGCATTGTTGCATACGCTTTGGTTATACGCTTTTTTTTTAACTTTTTTAATCAATGTCCAAGATTTACGCGCGCGACTTTTAGTTTGTTTTCAATCGTCGTGATCAGTTCGTTTACAACTTACTTACGCAATTACGAAAAGGAGTATTTGTTCCCTGTTAGATGGAAAGGCACATTATCTTTCATTTTGTGAAGTATCGTTCGTGAGCATTGCACGGCTCTTTATTTTTAAGAAGAA